GGCTTTAGATTCTCAGTGCTGTGCTTTAACCTGCTGCGCCACCAGGGAGGGCCCCATATCTGCTTTTTAAAACAGAATTCCAATGGTTCTGACATCGATGAAATATAAAGTGAAGTCCTACCCTCACACTTCTCTCCAAAAGTAGTGTTTGTCTTGTACTGAAGCATACTTTCACATGTTTCTTTTCTACCTTTTTTTGTGCCAGAGAGAGAGGAGAGAACAAAAGCATAAAAGAGAAGTGTTTCTAAGGAAAGTGACAGCTGATCCTTGTCAAGGTCATTGGTTTTATTGTCAAAATAGAGTGAGGACTTTTTGAATAAGGGTGGCTTTTTTAGGAGTCTCTGCTAGGATTGAACGGAGAGATTGAGGAGGTGATCCTCATGCTCCCTCTAGTTTCCTTTGACCTTCTATTGATTGTTTGGGCTGGGAAATAGAAGTGTCTGTAGGGGGCAGTCTCTGATAACAAAACCCACTGTGTGCACTGCCCTGCAGTGAAGCACAGCACACATAACCTGCTTGTTTGAAATAGTCTGGCAAATGTGAATTTGTAATTTAAAAAAGTTGAGTGTAAAAACGTCTTTATATACAAATGCATAATATTTGTTTCACAAAGGGCAGTAAAGTGCAGATTATAGTATTTTGATTTGAAGATGGGTCGAAGGGAATAAATTCAAGTTTCTTTTTTTAATGTATATTTTTAGTTAGTTTTTAAATTGTTGCAACATTTAGTATTTTTGTTAATAGCTGAGACTATATAGCTGAGCATTAAAGTTAGCCACAGAGGGCACGGTCTGCCTAGTGTGCCTTACTAGAATCAAATGTTGGAGCTTTCACAGTATGAGATACCCATCTTTATTTTTTTCTTTATACCCAGTTTAATTTTCTTCTGCTTTTTAGCCACGTAGGTTTAAAGTTCTTCTTAGTTTGCATACATACAGTTCCTACTGGGTAGGTTTCATAGCCATAGCTCTTCTGATTGTCATCTGTGGTGATGCTCCTGGATAGTCATGATGCCCACCTGGTGAAACTTCTATTAATGGGGGTCAGTTAGGCCCCAGTGTGTTTGACAGTAGTACTTGCACACATGTCAGCATTAGCTTTTGCTTTCTTTCTTTCATTCTGATGACAAATGTGGCAGAACTAGAATTCCAAACAAGTTTGATGCAGCTTTTAAGTTTGCTTGCTATGTTTTTCCCTTCTCTCCACTCCTGCACCCTTTGTGATATACATATACTTGATGATCACTCTCAATTCTATTACTGTTTTCCTAGAGCTATATTTTCATCATTCCTGAAAGAAATATTTAAAAAACAGTTATTTCAGATTTTTTTTTTCCAAAATAGGAAAAAATTCTTACTTGCCACAGGCCAATAAGAATTTGTTCTAAATCAAAAGAGATAAACTATGCCACAGTAAACTATATCCTGCAAGATCCAAAATCCACCTGTGTTGTAAGGAGACGTAGCTGAGCTCTGTTGTATGTAAGAAGAATGCAGAAAAATTGAAGAGAAATGTTCATCCTTCAATTTTTGTTACAATTGTCAAGACTTGAATCTCTACCGCAAGAGATATGAGTTTCTGTTTCTGTGGACTTTATTTTCCTCTTACTCAGTGAGGTGTTAAACTTTGGGAGGTCCTTCTATCCTTGGTTTATATTCATCTTAAAGGATCAATTCCCTTTTATGGGAGAAGGTGCTTTTTCAAAACATGTAAGATTCTTTCCCAATCCTTTACTCTCTCATTGGACTGAAAGATATGTAATTAGGACAAGTTTCTTAAATGACTCTTATAATTTCTTCTTTCCATTGAGAACCTTTGGTCTAAATTTAGGTGACAGTACCTCCCCACTAGTGGTGTCTCAAAACTTTATTAAGTGTCAGACTCATTTGGGATGCTCTATAAAATAGTTAAGTCCCACAATCTGGGAATCTTTATTTTTTACAAGTAACTGGTATGATTTTACTTTGGATTCTCAAACTGTAATTTACAAAAGTTTATTCTAGAGCTCTAGCATAATTCTAGTTACATGACGTTTATAAATCATATTCCCCTGAACTGATGAAGTATTTTTCATGGGCCCTTTCTATAGTAGCAAAATCTGTAATTTCTTCTTTCTGTTCTCATTAATGGTTTTTATTATAGGTTCCATCTTTATTACTTACTTGTCACTGTTGTGTTCTCATTAAACTTTGTGTAATAATGCTGTGAGTTTTTTTGGGACTCTAGGAACTAGTGTGTTGTGAGTGATCTTTTTTGAAGAAGCAGACTGATCTAGGGAGATAGCTAACACAAGAGCACATATCTTCTGAATTCTTACTGTGTGCCACAGGGACGTTAGGCAGTTTATCCCTAATGTCCCTTAATGGGAAATTCTCTTAATGTTGGCAGAATTTCTATGTATTTCAATGGCCGCATTTTTTCAACTTGAAGAAATGAAGTTACCTTAATAGTTAAGATTAGTTATGATAATACAACCTAATAAGGCATTTTCTCTTTATTAATTACTACATGATAAATAATTCCTCCTGTTATCTTTGTCTCTGTACCTTTTAGTTGTTAAAGCTTTTATCCCCCCCAAAACCCAGTGCTTGTGTGAGTCAAGCCTTAATGCAGGGGAAGAAAAGCTTTATTCCAAAAAGAATGATAAAGGCAGAAGAAAGAAAACAATGTGCATGATCTCTCTCACTGCGTTAGATGATTGTCATCTGTGGTGATGCTCCTGGATATTCATGATGGCCACTTGGTGAAACTTCTATTAATGGGGGTCAGTTAGGGGCATTAATATACAAGTCACTGCTATAAATTATTAAAACAAAATTATACTTAGAAAGAACTCCACACACTTGGCAGATCGTTCAACTTTGACAGTGAATAACCACCTAAAGGTTCTTGTTTTGTGAGATTTGCTGTTTTGTGAGATTTGACAAATTCAAATGAATCATGGAAAATGTGACAATAAATGTCTTCTAAGCCAAACAGAAATAATAGTAAAATTACTTGTAATTTTTTATTATTAGATTGAAGTGGGTTATCTTGGGATATGGTCTATTAATATCTATTACTCCTTGAATATTCAATCTTTATAAACACTGAATTTCTGTAGGAAGCTAAGACACAGCGAGGCCAAGTACTGTTTAGTGTTAACACATTTAGTGGGTGGTAGTACCAGGATTGTATCAGGCAGCTGGCTCCAGAGATACATATTATCTCCACTGGGCATATGGCTTACATTTTTGCTTTTGGAGACTTGTTTTATTGCAGAGGGAAACTAGTCACTGCTATGATACTTTTCTGTATTACTTGTCAATTTAAGGTTTTATTTTGACTGGAATAAATTTATTGTGGTTCTGTTATAGACTTAAAAACTAATCGGTAGCTCATGATTTTGTTTTCCCTCTTGTTTCTAAAGGCCTTTCAGTGCTCCAGGATATTGAAACAGGAGTGCAGCATATTTTAGCAGACATGGTTGCTAAAGACAAAGACACGCTTGACTTCATTAGGAAGTTGTGAGTAACTCATAGATATTTTTGCTTTGTGGACTCATGCTGTTAAGGGTCACATTGTTAGTGTTAATATAGTGTTCATTGAAAACTTTAGTTTCAGACTTTTTTTAGTAGCAGAACTTTGTTCAAAAAACAGAATCCTAATATGTAAAACAGATAAAAATAAGATTCTTTAATTGAATTCTGGGCAGGAAGCCCAGAATGAACTCTGCTGTTCATCCTCCATACACTGAAGCGCCTCAGTGGAAGGCTCTGAGAAACACAGTTTAAAAATCAATGCATTACATAATATGTTAGAGAGCAATTCATACTCATTTCAGGGGGGATGGCATTGTCTTTTAAACATACTGTGTTGTATGTATTTAATTTTATAGCATCTCATAGCTGGTGTTTACTAATGATGGGTTTACTTGAGGATATTTAATTTCAGGAATGCATAAAATGCTGACTTCAAAATAAATGTGACTAATAGAGCACCTTATCTTTAGTGTCATGGTCACCGTTAGTAAGAGATGACAACTCTTTGACATAGAAGGCCCTACTTGAACTTAATGTGTTTTATGCTTCATAAGAAAAGATGTATTAAAAGCTTACTTTTACATACTGTTCTTACCCTTTTTTCCACTGTGTATCAGAAGGGGAGATGGGGTTTAGCCAGAGCTCTGAGGCTTTTCCTCTCTCCACATCTAATTGTGTGAGCTGTGCAGAAGCAAGGAAAGAGGAGATGAACCAGCTCACTACTGTTCATTCTTGGGGATTTTGGTAATAAGGGAGGAAATTTTTCTATTTTCTCAGTGGCTCTGCCAGGAATAAGTTGAAGGGGAATTGTCCTGGGTTTTAAAAGTAATTGTACTGCTGAAATTCGGTTCAGCATTATAAATGGTTATTGGAAACTATCCTGACACATCCCCTTACTTCCCCTCTTTTTTGGCTTTCATGGCTCTATCTGTTTAATTCAGTCAATGAAAAAGGATGTTGTCAAGACCAGAGTTAGTGGTCTGATTCTTAAAGACAGTTTTGGTTTCTTACATAAGTACAGATGTTATCTGATTCATTTAGGCGCTTTATAGGAGGATAGTGTTGATACATGAACATATCTGAACAACCTATCTTGGCATGAATTAGGAAAGAATCCTCTTTTCAATACTGCTAACATTTTTACAATTGGGCATCATTAAACAAACAAAAATCTCATTTTGCTAATGCTTAGCTACTTTGCCAATTTTATATTTAAATAATGTTGGTTTTTTTTTTTTTTTTTTACTAAGGCATATGTTAATAACCACTCGTATTTTTTGGATATTTGTGTGTCTAAACAGGTGTCAAAATAGATATATTTGTATCCAGTCATCTCTAGCAAAAGTGTCTTCAAAGAAAGTAAATGAGAAAGATGTTGATAAGTTTCTACTCTACCAGAATTTTTCTTGCAACATAAGAAACATCCAGCATCATCAGGTAAGTAAAGAAAATGCTTCTGTATGTTGATAGTAATAATGATAATACTTTGGATTAACCTGTTGCATTCCTTACTGAGGAACCAAGGAATATTAAGTCAGATATTTTCTTTATATAAATTCTTATAAATTATATCTTCCCTGTTTCACAAATGGGGAACTCAAGACCGAGAGAAGTTAGTGACTAAGAATTATTAGCACTCTGGCAATATAACCCAGGTATCTGGCTTTTCAGTGATCTTTCTTATTTGACTTCTTCCCAATATACTTCAATTTCATTTCAATTCTGGATCTTTTCCAGGTGAAATACAAGTTAGAAATAGTTTGGAATAAAATTGTATAAATCATAGTCATTGTTTCTCAGTTTTTAAATTTCATTTTTCAGTTCACTTATTTTTTCCTAATTGTAGCGATAGGCTGTATTTATATTGTGGAATGTGCTTTTTTGGTCATAAAGGGGAAAAAAAGATGTTTTATAAATTAAAAATACAGTGTTTTATTTTCACTTACATAGCTTCCTTTACCAGGGCTTACTCTTTGGATGGTTTTGGATTACTGTTCAGTGTTGTTTAATTTCAGTGTAAAAGACTTCTAGTAACATTTCTTGTAAAGCAAGTGTGCAGGTGACAAACACTTTCGATTTTTGTTTATTCAGAAAGTCATAATTTCTTATTTTTTCAAAATTAATTTTAGTAAAATACATAAAACTTTACCAATGTTTTCATTTTAAAGTATGCAGCTCAATAATGTAATGTAGTCACATTGTTGTACAGCCAATCTCCAGAACTTTTTGTATTGCAAAGTTGAAACAGCCCCTCCATTAGTGAAGGATAGATTTCATTTTATCCACCGTCTTATACAATGGTGGCCCCATTGTATAAAATTCCTATTGTCTGGTGATGAGGTAGCCATTGTAATGTCATGTTTTAATGCTGGCAGTTATCTCCTACATCTGTTTACTGCATCTCTTATAGCATTATTTCCCCTTCTGCTTGAGTTAACTTCATTTTCAATATGGCCCCTAAGCATAAAAAATCTACTTCTAACACTGCATTTTAGTAACAACAAAAGACCTAATAATGTAATGCAATGCTCAGAACATTTAATTAAATGAAGTTATAATCCTTTTGTCTCTTGGCCTCTGCGGTTTTTTGAAGACTCAACTTTTAATTTTCCTGAGCCCTTGTGTATGTTGAATTATTTCTCTTACTTTATTTGAGATTCTTTGTCTTTGTCTTTTGCTAGTTTGGTTATAATGTGTCTCGTTGTGTGTGGATCTCTTTGAATTTATCCCTCTTGTAGTTAGTTCTAATTCTTACTCACTTTTGATCTTCTTTTTACTTAATAAGGTATATAGCAATGACCTCTCTCAATTCTTGATTTAGTTTTTGAAATTTTTTCCTCTTTTTTTTTTAATCAGCCTAATAAAGGTTGTCTCAATTTTGTTGATATTTTCCAAAAACCAACTTTTGGTTTTGTCATCATTTTCTGTTGGTTTTCTTTCTTATTAACTGTTCTTTTATTTTCTTCTTCCTGTCTACTAATATTAATATACTCTTCTTTAAGAAGTATTTAAAACACTCTTTCAATGTATTAATTAAGATTGTAACAGGTTGATCTGAGTTTAATTTCTCCTTTTCTACTAGCGTTTGATTTGGGAAAAATAAGTCTTGAGAAAATTCTATAAAATGAATTGGTTGTTTTGAAGGTTAAATGAGATAATTTATTTGAAGTGTTTAGCTGCTCAACAAATGGTAATAGTTATTAGTACATATTAATGTAAGATTTTGCATGCTTGTATTTATCATAGCATTTTCCCCCACAAATATGTCTTCAAATTGCAGATCCTCAAACAGTTTTAATGAATAGATTTTAAAATGAGATTTTAGATCTCTCTTCCTATAAATGTCACAGGATTTGTACCTGGATTTTTATGTTTAAGAATTTGAGAAAAGCTAAAATAAATGATTATTTTAGAGTAAGTCTTGGTAAATAAAATGAATACAAAATTAATATAAAGTTATGTTGGAAAACCACTTACTTTGTTTTACAAATGCTGAATGATTACATAGATCATTTATTTTTTGAGTCATCAAAGAATATTTTGCTATATATGTTTGACTTTAGATTCTGGCAATTAATCGTGGAGAAAATTTGAAGATACTGACAGTCAAGGTTAACATTTCTGATGGAATAAAGAATGAATTTTGTAGGTGGTGCATCCAAAACAGGTCTGTTGATAGATTTTTTGCTTTTGTTTTCCTATCTTTTGTTTCTGAAATTTCATACTGAACATATACCGATATGGAATGATATAAATTATGTTAAAAACAAACAATGAATTCAGTGTCTTTTTCACATTAACAAAATAAGTATGTGTCTTGTGTACATTTAACTAGAAAGGCTTTACAAAAGAATTTTTAATAGGGATTGTTTCTGGAGAGAGGGACTTGACTTTTTCTGAAACAGCTGATTTAGTACCTTTGACTCCACCTTCCAGTATGAGACAGTTCACAGGAGCTGATTAAGCCTCTTAGCTGGCAGTCTTTGTCACTGCATGTCAGAACTCAGTGGTCCTCAGTTGGCAACAATCATGCTTCCCATTTTCACCCCAGATGAGGATGTTTGGGAATATTTGGGTATGTATTTGGGTTTTATCAACCAAATGACTGGGTTGGCTCTAGCCTTTTTCAAAAACTAGCTTTCAATGTCAGTGCTTGGAATAGGCCTGTAAAGCCAATTATTCTGCCCCAAATGTCTGTCATATGACTGAGGAAATACTGTACCAAACTGTTGCTTTCTTCATATAGTAGCTTAATGTGGGATTGTAGCTTTTATCCATTTCTCTCTTAAATTGGGGAAATGAATGCTTTATGATTAGAAATGTAGAGGAGAGCCTGTCTTTTTGGTGGTGGCTTAAACAATATTTTTGAGGATGAAATATCTGGGGTACAGGCTAATTCTGGTCCTGGTAAGGGTTTTCTTCTGGGCTTGCAGACAACCTTCTAGCTTCATCCTTACCTGGGAGTGAGGGGAGCGACAAGAGAAGAGAGAATGAAAGAGGGAGAGATGTATGTGTCCTTATAATTCTGCAGTAGCTTTCCTTATAAGCACACTAACCCCTAACTCTTTATCACCCCACCTAAACATAAAAGTATCCCAGAGGCACCCTCTCTCCTAGCCATCACACTGGGGGCTAGGACTTCAACAAGAATTTTAGAAGACACAGTTCAATCCAAGCAGTGTTTTAGTTGTTTTTCTTTTTTTTTTTAAGATTTATTTATTCATACATACAGGATTGGGGTACAGACCAGAGGTGCAGGGGTAGGGGGATTGAGAGGATTCACCAGAGGCAGAGTAGCAGAGTAGGGAGCAGAACAGGCAGATTGATTGAAATACACTGCTGAGGAGAGCAATGGGCGGTCCAGCAGAGGTTTGCCATGCCATCTGTGTCACCCCTCTGGCTGGGAATCAAACTTGTGCTGTAGTGGCTGTGATAACCCCATAGTGCTGTGTTTCATCCTGTTGCACCACCAATGAAGGTCCTGATTTTTTTTTTTTTTTGGTGATTTTCTTTCATATCTCAAGCTATTGACTGTTATTAATGATGCTTTAGAGACTGTTCCCAGAATAGAAAGGTTTTTTTCTTTCTTTTTTTTTTTAATAAATTTTTTTTATTTATGCATACAGAACTAGGGTACAGGCCAGAGGTACAGGAGTGGTAACAGGATTCACCAGAGACAGAATGGGGAGCAGGATAGGCAGACTGATGAAGTGCACTGCTGAGGGGAGCAGCGGGTACAGAGGTGGGGTGGGGGCGGGGAGAGGTCTGCCTTACCATGTGGATCACCTCCTGGGCGGGGATTGAACTCATGCTCAACTCAAATGGCTTTAGCTTCTTCTTGCTGTGCTTTAACCCGTTGTACCACCAGGGAGGGCCCTTCTTTGTTATGTTTTATGTGTGACCTTGGTTACCAAGTTTTAAAACTCCAGGGCCCTCCCTGCACTAAGAAGCTTAAGCCATTTCTGCATGAGTTCGATCCCCGCCTGCCCCAGAGGTGATCCACATGGCACGGCACACCTCTCCTGACCTGCCCGCTGCTCCCTTCAGCAGTGTACTTCGTTGCTCTGCCTGTTCTGCTCCCCACTCTGTCTCTGGTAAATCCTCTCACCCTCCACATCTCTGGCCTGTACCCCAGTTCTATATGAATAAATAAATAAATCTTATAAAACAAACAAACAAACAAAGAACTCCAGATGACATAGTAATAATTTCCAGACATAACAGTTTTCACAGCTTATGTTAGTTTGGTTTCAATAAAGTTTTTCTTCCTTTTCTTTCTAATTCCTAGTCCTGACTTTCAGGTGTCCTTTCATGGTCTCCTCACTGTTCCACCAGTTACATCGGTGTGGCCCTTTCTTTTTTGCAGGTGGAGACCACGTGGCTTTGCAAGACCAGAGTTAATGAAGATCTTACACAGCTCCCTGGATGATTCCTTTAAACGCCTTATTTATCCTCTCCTGTGTAGAGAGTTTAGGTATGTATTTTGCCTTACTTAACTGTGTGTATTGCTTATTATTGTGTATGGCAATAAATCCATTAGAGCATGAGTAAATACTTGTTGATTCTTTAACCTCTCCAAAGAACTGAGTCAGACTCATGGATTCTTTAATTTAAGCCTAGATCTCAATATGTGGAGGCATTCACATGAATAGATAATAAAACAAACCTCTTCATTTCAGTTTATTTTTAAAATCTTGATTACTTAACATCTCCCCCTTCCAGTTCTGTAATACTAGTTTTGCAGTTTTGACAACCAAGCAGTTGACAATAAAAACAAATGATTTTATTGATTAGAAATTTGGCTTGGGAGAAGCAAACTGAGAAGTTAATGGAGAAGCTACTTGGAGACAGTTTTTGAGTTAAAAGAGCCAAAAAAAGCATAAGGAAATTGGTGGAACACATGACGAATTTATAACTCAGAAGAGAGAAAGCTAATATGATTTTTAACTACAAGTAAAAGTCATTTGAATGAGTAATTATTCTCAATGATGAGCAAATATTAGGTGATTATTAACATACTCATCTAAATGGACTAGCCAGACAAACAGTTACAAAGATGATGAACTGCAAGAGAGGTGTGGTGCAGATGATTTTTAGGGAAGAAAAAGAATAAAAGTAAGGAGTCAGAAATCTGTATTCTTGCTTCTTTAATCTATATCTCGGTAGTCAATCTTTGGAAACCAACTGTTTCCTTAAGTATTCCTTCCTATATGCTGTAGATTTTCTTCATTCTTACCTATTTATAGGTTTCAGTAAGGGATGCGTTGGAACCTTAGATTCCTACTTGTCACTTCAACCTCACTAGAATTTATCACAGCCTATATAATGTTTTTTCTCTACTGGACTTTGCTGTTGATGTCAGAGGTATTCAGAGTAGGATGTGCCCTTACTATTAAAAAGGACTTTTGGGTCCCCCTGGTGATTCAACAGGTTAGAGCACAGCACCATGGAGCTCACCACATGCAGGAGTTTAACACACACCCCTGCCCCCCTCCTCCTCCCGGCTGAGGAGGTGACTGCTGAGGAGGTGACCACATGGTGAGGCCTCTCCGTCCTGCCGGCTGCTCCCCTTGGCAGTGTACTTCATCCGTCTTTCTGCTCCCTATTCTGCCTCTGGTGAATAATCTCATTCCCCCCAATCACTGTATCTTTGGCCTGTACCCCAGTTCTATATGCATAAATAAATAAATCTTAAAAGAAATAAAAAGGACATATAACTACTTTGTCCCATTTCTTTTTACTAGAGCCATTTATTTTTATGATTCATTCCTTTTAGTTCAGATGTCTTTCAAAATTAGAGTTTTATTTTAGAATCCAACTACATTTTAGGTCTGTATTTTTTAGCAGTGTTTTTTGCCTAAGTGCTGGGACATAAAATTTTAAAAATGGAATCCTTAATGAATGAATGAAAAAAATTACTTTGGTAAAATTTAATTTCCTTTTGTATATTTTGTCCTTATTTTGTTTTCTCATGTTACATATAATATCCATTGGCTCTTTTGATAATTTGCATATATTTGGTTTGAATAACTACATTGCTTATGAAATAATTTCATTGAGCTGTAATGTAAGCATTTTGGTGTGGGATTGGTTAATATATAATCCATCTCTGACTTCCATTAACAGTGGGCAAGTAAGATGACTCTCTTTTTCTTTTTCTAAAATGCCTGTGGTTAAAAAAATATATCTTATTACACTTTTTTAAGTTGGTTTGCAGACATTGTCTACAGATGTGTCTCTTGATAGAAATGCTTGCTTATAATTACCTTAACAGCAGTTGAGGAAAACTCCCAACTGATTTTTTAAGAGAAAATTACTTTAATTCTTCAATTATAAAGAAATTTGTCCAATGTAGAAAAACTGAATGAATTAGTAAAATTCAAGAAAAAAAACCACATAATTTTGCTAACTAGAGGTAACCATTGTTAACCAGACTTTTCTCCACTTGTATTTGTATATTGAAAGCAATCATGTTGACTGTATTATTTGCAGCCACTTTATTTAGTTGACTGCATATGATACATAGCCTTCTTGTGCATTTTATTTCTATAACCTCCTGATCATTCATGTCATTCTCATACCTAACATTTTTATGACTCCTACATTGTCAATTACCAAGTGCTGTCTATTTTACCTTTATTCTATCTTGACTTTTGCCTTTTATGCCTGTGACATCATCATTTCTTGCCTTCATTATTATGCTAGAGTCATAATCTCTGTCTTATATTTTCTAATATATATTCCACATTGTGATTCTAAAATTCCTGTCTGATTATTTTATGTTTTCTTACTTAAAATCCTTCTATGAATGTTTTTTGTCTCTAGGATAAAATCCAAGCTTTTTAGAAAAACATGCCAAACCCATTGTGATCTCTTTTCTTCTTGCTTTTATAGTCTTAGGTCTTGATATTTCCTTTTACCTTAGCATATGAAATCACTTTTTTTTTTCTATAATGAACCACAAACTTTTATGCTGCTTCCATTACAGAGTATTCTCTCCATGTACTCTATTAACTGTTACTTATCTTTCTTGATCTCCTTTTAGAATGTTTTCTTAATCCAGCTATCTCTCCCGATGTTCTCACTAGCATAGCACTTGTCATTGTTTTATTCTTGTCAGTTTATTTTTCTGTTACTCTCATTAGACAGTGATAGGTAGGATCTCATCTTTTTTTTTTTTTTTTAAAAATTTATATTTATATATGCATACAGAGCTGGGGTACAGGCCAGAGTGCAGGGGTGGTCAGAGGATTCACCAGAGACAGAGTAGGGAGCAGAACAGGCAGATCCACGAAGTACATTGCTGAGGGGAGCAGTGAGTGGGTTAGGAGAGGTCTGTTGTGCTGTGTTGATCACCTTCCGGGCAGTGATCGAACTCATGCTGAAGTGGCTTTAGCTTCTTAGTACTGTGGTTTAACCTGCTGCACACCAGGCAGGGCTCAGGATCTCATCTTTTTGACTTTGTCTTTCTCCCACCTCTCATGGTACCTTATTGAGACTAAAAACTAATGCTTCCTCAGTGAAGTTTAAAGTGAAGCTTTAGAGATGCTTCTAATAGTACTTTCCATGTTGTTTGACTAAATGCAGGGAAAATGACAGTGAAATATTATAGCTGATAGGGGAAAAGCCTTAACAAACTCAAGTAAACCAGTAAAGCAACCCTTAGTAAGCTCTGTGTGCTTTCAGAGATGTAGAGGATTCTACCTAAGCACTGATAGGAATTGTGCTTCAAATTGCTTTTATACTCTCACTTTTCTTGTGACAGGTTCTAATGGAGAACAGTTTAATGAATTCTTAAGAATTTTGGAATATGATGTTAAAAACTTTCATTAAATAAATGGATGGTATAGAACTCCATTCCAAATATCCTTAAGTCCATTGTAGACAACTTTTTTCCCCTAGAAAGAGAATTAAATTTAGAATATTAATAACTTTTCTAGATAAAATTGGGGAGTTATTTATATAAGGCATGGTTCTGGACTGTTATTAGTATCTGTAGTCATGTCATCACTATGAGAATGAAAAAAATGTAGATATGTAGAATGGGGATGAATAAAAAGATGTCACTGAGACATGTATTGAATGTTGATGGAGGAGGCTTACGATTTCATACTTTATCTCTAATTAAAATGGAAATTTAGCATCCCATATGATGTCCTATGTCTTTCATATACACAGGTATTTATATATAGACATTATATATAAGGAAGAACCTATAGAAAAGGAGTACAGGAATGACAGTCTTATCAAGTATGTTTGGGAATTGTTTTTAGAGTCATGTGTTGCTGAAATTAGTGGATATAGAGTCAATATTTTGTATATGATGTTTCTTTCTCTTAAGCTGTTTGTTTTGACAAATACTGTTAGGAATATAAACATGAAATTTTGTTCTTCCCCGGAAGAAAGTTTGGGTGAATGGAATGCTAAATTCTTTTTCTGTTTTTCTGTTGTAAAGAGCCAAACTAACTTCAGATGCAGAGAAGGAATCAGTAATGATGTTTGGAAGGAATCTTCGGCAGCTCCTTTTAACAAGCCCTGTTCCAGGACGCACTTTGATGGGAGTAGATCCTGGTTACAAACATGGCTGCAAATTAGCTATAATTTCTCCTACCAGTAAGCAGATCGTTTATCTTTCATATAAAAAGTTTTTGATTGATCATATGTTTCATTTTATGTATTTCATGAGGATTTGGAAATAATGTTAATCTGCAAGTCTTAGAAAATGGCTTTCTTATATAAAGGTATGTGGAAGCCAGAGAATCACACTTTATATTTGACCTCTTTGTTGATTGAAGCCTTCAACATATTATAGTTGTTTTTATCTTCCCCTGTGTCATGAGGCATATTGAAGCTTAATTAGCCTCAGACTTAATAACTACCCCTGTATTCTTTTTATGTGTATTTATATAGCATACATTTTAATTCTGCATATATTCTGTTTTTAAAAATAACATTGATTTACAACACTGCATATCATTTAGAGAGACAGGCTCACATTCTTTGGATTTATGTTATACACCACAACCACCACCACAGTCATTGACAATCATAGTCATTTCCATAATCATTGTGCACCCTCCCTATATTGCTCTCCACCCTCCCCCTCCCCCTCTGGCAGCTCAGCTCTACAGTCAGTTTTTAGAGTTATTAGTTTGGTTTTGTCTGACCCTTTGTTTTATTTCTCTGTATTCCCATATGAGTTAAACACACCATCTAGTGTTTGATTTATCAGTCTGACTTATTTTATTTAGCATTATCCCTTCTGTTCTGAGGCACTTAGGATATTTCTAAAACTTGGCTATTGTAAAAAGTGTTGCTTTGAACATAGAAGTACATATATCCTTGTAAATAAGTGGCTTAAGTTTTAATTCTGAAATAAATTTTTCTTTCATATTTAATTCATTCCTGAATTTTCATGTCTTATTTTGAGGTTACTGATTCTGATTTATTTTGTTTTTATTTCCATGTCATATATGTATATTTTTTAGCTTCTTACATTAGGTGATAGACTTTCTGTTTTGTTCTCATTTCTTTCTGTAAGAATACCATGCTAATTTCCTTTCATTTTTTAAAAAAATAATCTTTTTGGATGGAATTTGACTATGACTTTTGCTTAATTAAAAAAAAAAGCAGTTTCTCTCAACTTTAGGGGGAAAGACTGGATCAGGAATGGTTTTCCATCTGTATTTCCCTAAAACTTTATTTTAGAAAAAATCACTTCAATTTTTCCCCTGAAATATTTCTCTATGCCTATGTCACTATTCTCATACTTGACTGCTGCTTTTCTCCCTTTTTCCTGAATTTTAATTTTCCTTTGCCCATACTATTCCTATCTTGATCAACATGGATGTGATCCCCAGCTCAAATGATATCACAGTATTGTCTCATATATAAAAATATTCAATGTACTGATTTTAAGTACTATTAAAAACCTTTGTCTCTTAGGTATTATGGCATATGTATTATCTAGTTAGTAATAGCTTTGTGTAACAAAATAGAATTCTTAGAATTTTGAAAATAACAAAATTACAGAGCATTTATGGGAACCTGATTTTTAACTATGAATATTTAAAATGCATTTTAAAAGTCAAACCAGTTCCCTCTCCTGTCACAACTTGCTTTTAATTAAGTCATTGGTATGTAATGTTTTGTAATCTCTTATTTTAAAAAAATGACTTTTTTTTTTTTTAAAGGTCAGATACTTCATACTGATGTGGTTTATTTGCATTGTGGACAAGGCTCCCGAGAGGCAGAGAAAATTAAGAGACTTTTGCTGAATTTCAAGTATGAAAATACATAATCTTTTGGGTTCTTAAGTGACTCAACCAGTCAGAGATATCTTTAACACCCCTAATTTGGAGGAAGGACTTAAGGGAAGTACCTTGATAAGAGAGAAAGAACCATGTAAAACAATGCTGAGGGAAATTGCTGGAGAACTCTGATTGGAGATACCAGAAGATTCCCTCCTTTGTCACCTTCTCTAAACAAAGGTGTTCCTATTGGAGCAAATAGGAGAATTGAATTTTTTTGGGTGGGCTTTCTTTTTTCTTTCCCTGTTTTCCTTTCCTTTCCTTCTTCATGGATTTGAGAAATGGATATAATAGTAGATAGAAGCCTCAGACATTATTTAACAACATATCCCATAATTTAGTCATAGTATCTTTATTATGGCTTACAGTGTTCCAGTGTTTACTTACCCTTACCTAATTTTCCTTCCTTCTAGGTGGGAAGAAAATTGTTTTTGAGGTTCTGTAACAGTACAATGCTTTATTTTACTGCTTTCTATTCCAAATGTAGGGGCAATGTCTTTTATTCTCCATAAATCTCTCTTCCTTATGAAATATGGAGAGGTTGTTTGGGTATATGAGAGAATAATAGGCCTGTAATAGTATTTGTATATTTTCTCCTGGTTGATTTAAAAGCTTGCCTTGAGTTCATCTAGTTTCTTACCCTGTTTCTCCCTTAAAGCTGCAGCACTGTGGTCATTGGAAATGGAACTGCCTGTCGAGAAACAGAAGCTTATTTTGCTGACCTGATAATGAGAAATTACTTTGCACCACTGGATGTTGTTTACTGGTAAGGATATAAGCAACGTTTGTTTCTTTGAAAAGGCATAGAAAATTCTAAAACTTCTGTGATGAATGCTGTTTTCTTTTTAAAATATATAATATCCTGTTTGTCTCCTGGCCACCTTTTGCTGTTCAGAAGACTTTGTAGGATCATGGAAAGTGGAAGAACTTCACTTTCAATGTTCTAAAATCTATCAAGAAGCAGAAAGTTCGGGCTTATTTGGTTTCATGGGCTTTGCGAATATATGTTGTATGAGCTCTAATAACTACAGATTAGTAAGTAGGATGGTGTACCAGGCTAGCAGCTATGGACTGTGGGTAATTTAGCTTCCTGCTCCCAAATTGTTGATGCTTTAGTTTGATGCCAAAATAAGTATCAAAAATTAAAAACATTTCTGATGTTTTATTTCTGATGTACACTGCTGAGGGGAGCAGCGGGAGGGTCAGGATGTTTCTGATGTTTTTCCATGTAGGCAACTAGCGTGGCCAAATTTCTCTACTTCTGCCTCTAGATCTATCATAGTTCTGCTTTCATTCACCATTATTTCCTACCTTCAGATCTGACCTTTAAATAGCCATGCTTCCTAGTTAAAAAGAAAATGCTACATGGTTTAATTCTTAGAGTGTGGATGTAGTTATAGTGTCTGATATGTAGGGAAGAATACAAAGAAAGAGCCATCTTCCCCTGAGAAATGTAAGTCAACTGATCAGTACATAACTGACAGAAACAAAAAAATAAAACCCATCATATGAATAATTCTAGGATCCATTTAGTTAGGCCAAAATGGAGTTCCTTCACATTTAGTGTAATATTATGTTTGCTTAGAGTATAATCAAGAAGTTAGGCAAGCAAACTCAGGAGATGGCCAACTTGTAGGTATTATGCAGTCATGCTTTAAGAACAGGTCATATTAAAAATCCTACCTCAACTTTTTCCCCTGTCCTTCTTGTTCAGGTTGGAAATACTTGTTTAGGTTGGAAATACTGGGAAATACTATGGATCCTCCCTATTCTGGGAAATGCACATGTGTAACCAGTCCTTTTGTGAACCGAAACAATGGCCTGATACAGCTCTTTTAATTTACTTCAAGCACCTCCTTTGATTTCTTTCTTAAGAGTTATTTATTTATGCATACAAAACTGGGGTATAAGCCAGAGGTGTGGGGGATGAGAGGACTCACCAGAGACAGAGTGGGGAACAGAACAGGCAGATCTACTGAAATACACTGCTGAGGAGAAGCAGTAGATAAGTCAGGAGAGGCCTGCCACACCATGTGGGTCACCTCCCTGGCCGAGGATTGAACTCATACTGTAGTGGCTGTGATAGCATCATAGTACTGTGGGGTTTCTTTTGTTTTTTGTTTTTTTTTAAGATTTAAGAACTGGGGTACAGGCCAGAGGTGTAGGGACGATGAGAGGCTTCACCAGAGACAGAGTGGAGAGCAGAACAGGCAGATGGACAAAGTACACTGCTGAGGGGAACAGCAGGCAGGTCAGGAGAGGTCTGCCATGCCACCTCCGGGGTCACCTCCGGGGCAGGTGGAGATCAAACTCACGCTGAAGTGTCTTTAGTTTCTTAAGTGTTGTACTTTAACAAGCTGCACCACCAGAGAGGGCCCTTTTTTTTTCCCTCAAGATTTATTTATTTATGCATACAGAACTAGGGTACAGGCCAGAGGTACAGGGGTGGTGAGGATTCACCAGAGACAGAGTGGGGAGTAGAACAGGTCGAAGGATGAAGTACACTGCTGAGGGGAGCAACAGGTGGGTCAGGAGAGTCTGCTGTGCCATGTGGGTCACCTCCCTAGCTGGAAATTGAAGTGGCTGGTAATTGGAAGTGGTTGGGCTAGCCTGTCAGTGCTGTTCTTTAAACCATTGTGCCACCAGGGAGGGCCCTCTGATTTCTTTTTAACTTGTACATATTCATTTGATGTAAATATTAAATAACTTGGGTACATTTATAGTGATTCAAATGATAAAATGGTTAATGTTAAGCTTATTCAATTGAATAAGTTTAAAGTGAATTTGTTTATAGTCTTTATTGATCTCTCAGCAGTGATTATTGGAGTAGAGGATGAACTTTGGAGTCAGAGAAATCTGAAATACTCTTGCTTTTACTGTTCACTAGGTATACAAGCTTGAAAGCATTAATATATCACTGTAAAATTGACTTTTCCTATCATTAAAATGGGGAAAAGAGTGCCTACTTTACAAGAGTTTTGAGAACATTAAAAATGAGGTAACATAGGCCCTCTCTGGTGGGTTAAAGCAGCAGGTTAAAGCACAGCACTAAGAAGCTAACGCCACTTTAGCATGAGTTTGATCCAGGCCTGGGAGGTGACCACATGGTGCAGTAGACCTCTACTGACCCGCCAGCTGCTCCTCATCAGCAGTGTACTTTGTCAAGCTACCTGTTCTGCTCCCCACTGTCTCTGGTGAAGCCTCTCACCACCCCCGTACCTCTGGCCTGTACCCCAGTTCTGTATGCATAAATAATAAATAAAAAAAATGAGGTAACATGTTAGGGCAAAACTCCAAGATTAATAAATGATAGTGTATATGTATTTATTAATTCATCTGTGTTTATTTGCACATATGTTTTGTTTATAATATATAATGTATTTGAATTGTTATTATGAAATTAGAGACAATTTTTTCTTGGGCTAGTTAATAAGCATCTGAAATTGATTTTTCACATTTATGTAATAAAGATAATATGTATCTTCAAACGTATAAAATAATAAATGCTACATAAATCATGTGGTGCCATGAGATCCTTGGATTTGAATAAAAAGCCATTTTGGTAAAAACTCAGATCGGTATAATGATCTGAGGTATAATGATGTCTTTGGATTTTGGGGACAGACCTTTGTTTGGGTTCTGCCACTTAGTACATCTGTGATTTGGTATAAAATTTTAAACCTCTTTTAAATTAAGGGTTTCTTCATCTCTGGTAATAATACCTATTAGCATCATTGTGAAGATTTGAAATAGTATGTGTTATATGTTCTCTAATTTAAGTGTGGGTTAATCTTTGAGATGATACTACTCTGAACTGGAGCGCCTACTAGATATCACTTAGTGGCAAGGCATGAAATCTCTCATTTATGAATTAGAATAGTAAATATGAAATAAATTTCAGTTGTCCAAGAGGGCATTGTTATTATTGTTTAAATATTCTATAAAGCAGTGTAAGATTTTGATACAACTTTAAGATAAGAAAACAAGTCATAAAAATTATTAAGTAGTGAAGACTTAGGTGGTAAGCAGTTGCTTCCCCACTTTTATGCCTCACGTAACCAGCTTTACCTTCTCATTAACGATCACGGTGCTTCTTGAGTTTTGTTTGTGTTAAAGATAACTTCCTGCATAGATCAGCAGCTGTGCTTATATATTCTTCTGCCTGCCTTCCTTCCCTCCCTTCTTTTGTCTGACTTCTTTAATAGAAGATAATATTTTTTGAGTTTCATTATGTTATAGTATAAAATGATGAGTACTTAAATGATGCATGCATATTTCATTCTATAAACAGTATTTCACTAATTGATGGACATTTGGGTGGTTCACATTTGTCTCACTTGAATAGTGCCACCATGAATGTTTGTGCACAAGTCTTCTGTAAATGCCTACAGCGGTGTTTAACTTTTTAAGAAACCGCCAATCTTTTTTCCAGTGTGGTTGCACTATTTTACATTTCTGCTAACAAGATATGAAGGTTCTTATTTTTCCACATTCTCACCATTTGGTTTCTTTGTCTTTTTGATTATAGTCATTCTAGTGGATGAGAGATGGTGTATCTGATGGTTTTAGTTTTAGTTTCCTAATGATAGGATCTTGAGCTTCATGTGAACATTGCATACTTACATATCTTCTTTAGAGAAATGTTTTATTGAGTCTTTTGCTTATTTTTAAATTGAGTTGTCTTTCTATTCTTGAGTTGTAAAAAATCTTTATGAATTGTGGATATGAGCTAATATATAATTATTCTTTGGGCTTTCTTTTTCTTGGTGATATCCTTTGCAGCATGTAGTTTTTATTTAATCAGTTCATTATTTTCTTTCTTTCACTGCTTTTGTTTCAGTTACATTTTGAAGTTTTCTTCATAATTTTTTTTGAATTGAATATTAAAGACTTTCTTTTGTATTTCCCTTTTTTGTGTTATTTTGTACTTGCATTACTTTATATCTGTATAACAGAGTACTATTTTTTATGTTAACTTTGATGTAATTGTATTACAGAATTCTTTTTTGCTTATAGTGGGTTTTTGATTTATTTTATTGGATTTCTAAGTATATAATTATACCTAGAAAAGATTATGGATTTATCAGTTCCTTTTCAAATGTTATAACTTTGAACGTTCTTTTCTTGCTTAATTATATCATGCAATATTTTTTAAAAACTATTAAATAACAATGATACTGGACTTTATCCTCCTTTATTTTTATTAGAATTCTTCTACTGTGTCCTTTAAGTATGATACAAACTTTTGCGTATTTTAAAAGTTTATTTTAAGGAAATTATTTATGATTGCTTCAAAATATTGATTAGTATCTTCAGTTATAGTTGTTTTTTGATGTGGGCCCTCATTGCTCTGTACATACCTTCTAATACTTCTTTTGGAGCATCTGTTGGCACAGGTAACTTGTCCCACAATTCCTGTTAGACTCCAGACATTTTTTTATTTCTTCATTAACCCAGGAATTATTCAAAATTATTTTGTTTAATTTCTACCTGCTTTGGTTTATTCTGGGATTCTTTTTGTGGTTAATTTCTAGCTTTATTCTATTTCAATCAGAGAAGATGCTTGATATAATTTGTATTTTCATATAATTTTTGAGGCATGTTTTGTGTGTCAACATGTGAAATCTCATGTGTATTTGAGAATAATGTGCATTCCGTTCTTGAACAGAAGGCTCTATATATGTCTGGTAAGTACATCTAGTCAAGTACTACATTTATTGCTTTTATTTCTTTGTTAACTGTGAATCATCTATCCCTAAGTGTAAG